CATTTCTAATTAGATATAAATTAATTTACTGTAGTTGACAAATTTTATCAACAATTTGAACTTTAAACATTAATTAAAAACCTCGTAATGTTACGATATAATCTTTTCGGTTCTTTTACCAGTTGTTAGGACAACTTATGACAAACCGTGCATTTCATTTTTGAGCTTTTTTACCGAGCCAAACAATTTTATTCACATAAGTAAATATAATTACTAAATTAAACAACGCGATTCTCCATACTAGGTACATAAAATACATTTATAACTATATATTTTTCTTTCCGAACGTTACAAAGTTTTGATTAAATTTCAGAAGTCTATTATGATTATTTACTTTTACTTTATAGATTGTACGAACTACAATATTAAATAAAAACAAACGAAAATAGAAGAAATTAATTGATTAAAAAAGAGCCTTACGAAGAGTCTATTTCAGAATATTTGTATCAATTAGGATGTTATTGATTTTGAAAAAGTTATACAATTGTTTGACCTAAAAAGAATGTTTTGATAAGTTATGTACTTACAGAACATCAGACGACGTAAACTCATAATTCTAGATTTACGAGTTCATTCCTAAATTTAAGAGTAAAACACCTGTTACAGAAAAAAAAAACTACAAACTTTTACGGTGTTAACCTATAACTATACCTTGTATTAATATAAAAAAAAAATGTATACCTATATGCATGTAATAATAATAATAATAATAATAATAATAATAAGAGTTCTAGTTTATTTAATTTAAAACAAGCTGCAATACTTCCCCAAAATGTGTTATGTATGTACATTTTCAGTGTAGTCAAAAAAAAAAGGTTTTTATGCATCTTGAACAGAATGTAAAAGCGCGGTTATAAATAATGTTCACTCAATCTTCAAATAAATGTCACTGTCCCATAATAAAATAGGCATAACCTAAAAGTGGTAAACATTATAAGACGTATTTGCATATCGATAAAATTATTAAAATTATAAATTGGTAAAATATCACGTCTCTGAGAATATTATTTTCTAAATTAAAACCAAAGCGTGAAGATTAATTTTGTTAATATTTAATGTAGGTACTATTAATTTTACTGGTTTAGACTTTTTTCCTAAAAGATCCATTCAAGTCCAATTTTTAAAGTATAAATAAATCATTCGAAGCACACAACTATGTAGTAGGCAAATGAAGTGAAATATGATACAAATTACAACCCTAATACTTAGAACATCTTTTTTTAGAACCAAATGAACCATAATATAATAAACGTATATGATTTGGATTATTATCATGATATTCATTTAATACTACTTTATTCCTTGTGATATCACTTCAACATTTATGTTTTTTTGTTTTTAATTTCAATAGCCATTTTAAAACCTAAACTATAACAAGAAGTTACTCGTTTAATAATACCTCCGCTTCTTCTCCTAAAATACCTGAAAGCTATATATTATATTGTTTAAAATTAAAAGATAGAAAATCCCATTTATTTTTTATGCTTCTGTCGGTCAAAGTTGAAATCATATTTAACTTCATAAGAATGGCAAACTTATACAATTTATTCGCATAATACGAAATAAACTTTTGTTAAAAAAAAAAAAACTAAATTTCTAAAACCGTACGATTTTAAAATAATAATATTGTTATACAATAATATGAATACATTTTTAATGCATTAGTATATATTCCATAAACAAAATGTTTTAGTACAAAATAATGAAAAATTCAAATGCACCAACACTATATATTCAGAAAACTTTTGAAAATTGATCATTGTACATAATTTATCACACTTAAAAAGAGGTTCTGACTTCCAAGTGAAGCTCAAAATTTAAATGTAAACGCATAATCTTTTTTCTTTAGTACCGTTTTCAATTCCCAGACATTTGTTGTTGATCAAACTAGGAAATTCGAAAAAATTACCTCTTTAAAGTGTCATCTATGTACAATTACCTATGTTTAAAGTTTCTCCAAGAAACTTTTAAAGTATTCTTACTACCCAAGAGTATTGACCATAAAAAAACACACATACATTGTAAACGCAACTGTTAGTTTACTTCAGAATGTACAGTTTTTATTTTGTTACAATATGAAACCTGATGTAAAACTGTATAAAATATAGAACTCACAAAAACGTTTACTTTGCTAAACGATTGCACTATAAAGGATTAAATACAAAAAAAAAATATATAAACATTATTTTCAATGATAAACTAGCATTTTAAATTTTTGAAGTATGTCAAACTTAAATATAAAAAAGACGGACATACCTTCTTCGCACAATGGACAATAAACAACTGCTGTATATGAGAAGTTTTATGTCATTTTTCAATTGATACAAGATTTTTAGTAGAGATGTTGCTCACATCCTCCAAAAAATAAAATAAAAAATTAATACATCATAGTAAAACCAATAGATCCCTTGATACGCTTACAATCTAAAATAGCAATCGAGAGTTTTTACTCTGTTAAATCACGTATCGGATCAAAAATAAAACCGATCTATGCTACTTATAAATACATAATTATATAGTTATCAACAAAGTTATAGAGCATCACTCTACCATAAAGTCTACTTATACAGTCTACACATATATTTTCTTTTCATCGCAGAAAATTCATTTCCACAAAGAACACGTTTTTTTTGTATTTTTGTACCGAAATTGTAAAAAAGTTTGCATATTCTGTAAAGACTTGACTATGTATTAAATATTCAATTCGATACAGAATTCGAAAGAAAACGGTACAAATTTAATTAGTTTAACTTTTTTTAGAAAGAAAATATTATCTCTTTTGTGGAGGAAAATGACCGCAACCATAACTGCTGATTCATTGCAATCAGAAAATAATAATATATCATTAGAAACAATACAGAACTTTTTTGGTAAACATCGATGGAAATATCAGTTAATGAGTTAATTATTTAATAACTTACAAAAAAAAAAACTTTCAAAAGAAAATAGAAGTATTTAAAAATAATTAAAATGTAATTATAAAACTTAAACAATTTTTTAAATATTAAATTTAATCTCATTATCAAGGTCGAAAATCGTAAGAAGAAAAAAAAATGTTTACTTAAATCCAAATGTTTCCAATCGTTAGACTTTAAAAAATCAACTATATAAGTAGGTAGAAGTCGTCATTGGTACGAAATTAATTTATATTTTATTGATTATTTGTATACGATTGTATTTGCCCACCCACTAACCACGTTAATGGTGTTCGAATATTTCGAGTCTGTTCGTTATTATACGTGTCCCAGTTTATTCTAAATACAATATCGAGGTCGCTAAATAGATGTTATGATTTCGAAATTCTCTGATTTTCCAGGATATTTTCAGTAAGACGCTAAATATGCATTATATATACATAATATTATTATAAAAACCATTTTTTTTTTTTAACACGACCTATCTATAAATATCTATAGTTGTGTTAATAGAAAATATAAATTTGTTTTATGTTATACACCACTTAAATTAATTTTACTCGATCACTCCTTATAGCCAAGGGCGCCCATTAGGAGGTGCAAGGGGATGGCATGTCACCCTCTAAAAGATTATATGGTCATTTTTTTTAATTATAATAAATTAATTTGTCTAATGCTAATGACAAAAAGTACAATAATATAGGTTAGATGGACTGAGTATGCTCAGTGTTCATACACAAACGGTTCATCACGACACCAAGTTTGTTGAAAAGTAGTTGACAAATTTAGTTTACAAAAACGCAATTTACCGTTTTTGTTTTAAAATATTGTTTTTATTCACATATAAAACTTATGTTTGTTTCGTTATTTAATAAAATCAATTTTGTTGTATCTTAGTTTTTAAGTTTATTTATTTTATGATTTTCACCCCCTTAGGTTTTGACAGATGGACGCCCTTGCCTATAGCTCTAGTCTATATCGCGCGGTATTCGTCGAATCCGTAGGTGGTGTAAAACGATAAATTTAATTAATTAATTAAAGCTCTGAATATCCAAATTTTCCTTATATGATAAAATAGTTTTTTTTTTTTTAAATTAATAAAGTTGAATACATGAAACATGACTTTACAGGAATATATATATTTACAATTGTGATTTAATGGGTACTATAAATATTTTTTCCAGAATTTTTTCTCACTTCCCTGTGGTTCTCTGAATTTCCATAACGAATTTAAATTCCTTATTGATATTTTTAGGTTTTACAGGTTTTTAGATGACGTAGCGATCCTGAATATATATTTATTAATACACAGTTTTTTCCCCCGTCTAAAAAATAATGATACCGAAGATTTCAGGTAAAATATAGACACAGTATAATTTTAATGAGATAATTTTTTTGATAAGGTCCCGAGAGTCCTCGCGTTTTTTTATAAGTCAACTTAAATGTCAAATACAATATGGACGATATATATTATATACAATTATCTTATAATAACAGAAACTCGTTGTATGATTATTACTAATGTCCATTCGAAAACATTTAATATGCATATAAAGACATGCACGTAGCCATTAAAACAATGTTATAATCAATCAAATACCTATAATAAATATTAGAACTATAGTCGAAATATTAAACAACATAGATAAAAAACCATATTATTATTATTTTAATATCTTAAAATAATTTAGGTAAAATATTATACATTATTTTTTGTCCCTTCTATATCCATTAATATCAGAGCGAGACCGTTTACCACATTTCTCATTTTGTGATCATATGATTCAAAATTAGGGTAACACGGTCGTTAATAAAAATCATCATTAAAAAACTCAAAAAACTGCTAAACAAAAGCAAACAAAATACATAGAAATAATTTTAAATAAAAGAATGAAATGTGATAGAAAAATCAGTAGTGTACTGATACAATGATGATAACTGACTAGCATTAGTCTGTGGCTATCACATTTCATTTTTGATTTTTTTTTTTTTTTATTCTACCTATCTATTTTTTTACTTTTTCTACAGTAGTTCTTTGATTTTTTTTTTCTATTCAGGTTTCCAATTTTTTTTCACTAGTGAAAAAACCACAAAAAGATGTGTTTTAGGATTATATCGTACAACATAAAGAGTATACCGTTACATTAGAAGTTGTTTTTTTAAAACAATGCAAATAAAATAAAAATATGTATTCGAGATTCAAACCCGTAACCAATCGGTTAGTACGTCTTGTGAAAACCGCTGCTTATTGCACTAGAGTCTTTACAGCACGCGTAATCATTTATTTGCTAGCATATTGAACTGTTGGTAAGTTTTTAATTATTTCGGCCACATATTAATATTTTTAAGATGCTACTTTCCCTATGACACTCTCAAAGTTAAAATGCATCCAACACCTAATTTAATAAAATTTGATCAGCCGTTTGGATTCTACTAATATCACATTCATTTATACATACATAATACACATACACATACAATTACATAATTTTAAACAGTATTATCTTTTTATCAATACGCATTTAAAAAAAATCATAATTAAAGTATTTGTACTTAGTACTTTTATTTATTTATTTCGCATTAAAGTACTTAGGTAATATATAATGATATTACTCTTCGTCAGTTATTTATAAAATAGGTTTTACTACCCTATATCTTGAATCACACGACCACAAAATAAAATGCGGATGTTATTTATGATAGATCGAGACAAAATAGCGCGAAAACACCGTCTTGAGTATAACGATGATGTACGTAACTAATATCATTTATATTTATATACATGTCGTTATATTTGTAAAGAAATAAATTGGCAGCAAAATATTTGATTTATTCTTTATACAGAGTGATTCATTAAGCATGCTCACCTCACTTTTACGGTTAACTTTTGAATACATTAAAATTCTGATTATTGGAATTTTTAAGTGTATAGTTCAAGCTGATATTTTCGAAAACTTAGATTTTTCATAGCATTTAAGGAATATCTTGTGGTGATACCAACTTGGAAGTTTCAAATGAGCTTATAAAGAATCACCCTATATGATGATAGTTGAATACATTTTAGATCTTAAACGTAACGAGGAATGTATGGGTTTAACTATAGGTACACATTTTTTTTTCTGTCTATAAAAAACTTTCTACCAAAAATCTTATTCCAATCAAAAAATGTCATAAAAGCTTTTTTTGTGGCATTAAGAATGTTTACAAAAACGTATTATACTTAAATTTAGTGACTGTAATTAATTGACGTGTTCATATTACTAAACATAGAATTTTAGATTCTAAGCAGAGTAAGAAATTTAATGATTTACCATGAATATCATAATATTCTGCCAGAAATCTTACTCCAATCAAAATATAACAAGTAACTTGTTAAATTTATTAGGGAGGTCATTTTGTATTTCCCGTGTAGTTTTCATAATAACTGTACAAAACCGGGAAAAAACATAAAAAGAACGTGAAAGTTTATGGAAATAATGGTTTCGTTATTTTTTTTTAAAAAAAATTCAGTTAAAAATATTTGTATAGAGCTGAAATGTTCATAGAATACTTATTTTAGCCTATTCTAGACGTGGTAATATTTTTAAAACATTTAGAAAATAATTTGAGCTATTTATAGGCATTTTAAAATCAGCAGTAACAGTTCTATTTTAAAATTGTCTTTAAAAAAACAAGACAGAGAAGAAAGAGTATGAAGAGAGAATTTATAAATAGTTGTCGACCAGAAGAAGATAACTGACAACATTTTGACCTCCTCTATCAAGACCTACTTATCCATTATAACTTCAAATACATTAGGTTTCTGAAACTTTGGTCAATAGCAGTTTTGAAGTATATAATACGCATATGTACTTTATAGCTTTCACACAGCACACATTAATAATGCCATAGCAGTTTGGTTAAACACGTCCAATTAGCCTATGCTTAGAGGTCTCACCGGTATTTTCTGTACGCTGATAAAAGCAACTTAAAAGTAGAGAGAGTAGATTGAGAACTGCAAAACTTTGTCAGAAAGTATACGCCCGCAAAGCCGGATGATGGTGTAAAATGTTTTATGAAATATTTCATCTACTCTCTTTGCGCCGACCCCTATCAGCTTTCTGAACGAAAAAGAGAACTTTTTAATTATCCAGTATTAATACTTTTGCTCTTTTAACTTTTAGCACAATTTTTCATTCAACTTTGCACATGCCAAGCAAACAGAAAATATTAGTTTCGGCCCAGTTTTATCTGACCATAAAAGTAGGTGGATATATTGCTTACCTATAATTATTATTCCGTATAACAAACAGTTATGAAAATATTGTTTTATACTTAAAGAATATTCAATTATTAAACAAAAATACAATATTACTTAAATATAGATACAAATATCTGTAAAAATAACAAACAGATGCTATTCAATCATTTTATGTAAAACATCTCACGAAAACTTTATTCTTCTTTATAGCCCCGAGTTAAGTTTTAATACACCTACTAAAACTAACCAACAAGAAGAATCCAATTTGAAAAATGACTCAAACGAACAATCTTAAATTACTCAATATTAAACCACATAAAATTTAAACAATCATTGATCTTAAATAATACTCATTATTGATAACCAAATTATCAAAAATAAAAACATGTATATATAATAGAAAATACAAAAAAATGTCTTCAAATCAAACAACCTAATAGTTAAATTGTCCACTATTATTAGGAAACTTAATTTAGAGAATGCTATTATTAAATCCAGTGTTTATTCTGCTCTCTACCTAATGACATGTCTTCTCGTTAAGTACAAAATAATGTAAAAAGAAAAAACTATAGTGTTCATGTTTAATTAAAATCGATCGGCTTCTTCGGTAAATTATAAAAGCATTACAGTGAGTAATAGTTATATATAATTATTAAAAATATTATATTCATTCGTCTCTTTTCTACAAAACGGAGCAAAAAGAATGTTTTATTACCTACGTACTGAATAAGGATAAAAAAAAACAGTAAGTATATTACACAGATGAAATACAGTACACCATTATAATTTTTTTTTTGTATGTACTTTTATATTATATGGGTATAACTAATAAGTAATATGCATTACGGATTAAAACGAAAACCGCTAATTTGCTATTATTAATAAATAAACATTAAAAATGAAATCTATTCCATTCGATTACTATTTTCAACGCCTATAATTATCACGCTAGATTAATTTATTTTAAAATATATTATGCCTAGGTATTGAATTTTTTTACTGTCATCAAAAAAAAACCATTTCCCGGTGAATAATTGCGCGACCCGACTAAATCGACCGTACTAAAGCTCATTATCCACGATCAGGCGTATTATTATTATTATTATGTCCACCAATCTCATGTATAGACCGTATGTTCAATAAAAACACGCACCTACCAATACGATGTTTACACGTCGTGACGAAACAATGACCTGTGTTTACTATAATATCGTCCCTTTTTATGAACACAACTCTCCCACTATAGACCGGTTAAAATATCCGCAGACACACCTTTTTACGTCGGATTTCTCGTTCACGAAATTTAAACCATTTCGTGTAGCACAAATATTTTAACTTCCAACGTTTAATACAAAATATTGTTTTGAAAAGAATTCGATTTTAGCTTATACCTACTAAAAATGTTCAACCGATTATGCCTAAAATGTAGAGCGATACTCATACAATAATACTAATACAATCATTTCAAGACTACACTGCAGGGTTTTCGATAGGTAACACTAATATTAAAAATTTATTATTGTAAGAACTAGATCAATTTCTAAATCAAATTCCTTTATTGTTTTTCCGTAATTTATTTATTTGTAAGCATATCATTAACTCCTTATATCATCCCAAACTCACATGGTCACAAGACAATAAAAGATTAAATTAAATTAAATTAAAAAATAAATATACTGATATACTGCAGCTACTAAATGTTAACAAGATAAACATGAAATCAAAACGTCGGTGCATACAATAACAATTGAAGAATTAAAACTATTAAGATTCTACCAAACAAAATGTATATAATGTTAAGGGCAAATTAAATGTATAATAAATGGATATTTAGAAACGCTGTAAAACGAGTCTAGACTACCTGCTGTAAATACGTATAATAGCCACGAAAATGGACATCACTCAATATAAATTATAAACTTGGGTACCCACTCATTTAGGTTCTTAATGTAAAAACATCGTAGATAACGTTATGCAAGTGTGCTGCAAATGTTGGAATACATGGAGCACAATATACGTACTTTAGTTACCTAACAAAGAAACTCATATCTTGCGTTATCAAGTTTTGCTACCGTTTTTTCGCGTTTTTATTTTCGACGTTTTATTCCATTCCGAGATTTACTTTTCAAAGTATTCTCTTGCTAGCCTCTCATTAATTTTACGAAAAAAATAAAAACTACCAATATTTATTTAATAAAATACCTACCTATGTACGTATTATACCTATAAACTATCTAGGTATATAGTAATATAAGTACTTTTGAAAATCGATATTTATTTTTCGGACATCCAAAATTAATCACGGTAGTTTGGATGGTTCAATAAAAATATTGACTATTATGATTATGACTAAGTATTAAGTATATAAACGAGTATAAACAGTATAACTACTGTAAATATACAAAAAGCAAAAAAAAATTTTTTTAGAAATAAAAATTATATTATTCAATTGATATACAATTATTTAGACGGCGTTTCAAGTCTTTAATTTTTTTACTTAAAGTACGATCGCTGTACACACGCATATTATGTCACTGTCACATATAATTCGTTATCGTAAATTATCGTGCTTATAACGATATTATCATTCCGGACATCATTCAATATTGGTCAAATATGTGGTTGTCCAGTCTGAACATTACACATTTGACATTTGATACTATTATGAAATGTCTATAGTTCTATATAAATTGCCAAACGTTCAAAAACTATTTTATCCCTTGCAATTGAAATAAATACAAGATGCTTTTATTACAAATTATTCACATCGACAACACCGATGTGGTTATAATAGCATACAAACTGCAGTAGTCCTACAACCACAGTAAATCATATCAATATACTGTTATGACAAACATTAAACGTTTAAAACGATTGTACCCGAAACTCGTTTATTTTTATAGTGAGATAATATTATGGTAGGTATTATTATTACTATAAACATCAAAGATTCGAAGTAATAATATATTTAATAGATACCCCGTAATACCTATTAAAAAAAAAAATTGACTTAAATCCCGATTTACTGTGATATAAATCATATAAATCATTTGGTTTACTCGATACTCACGGTGTTACAGAGATATTATAATAATATATAGAAACGAAACATTTTACGACTAAAAAAAAGGTTCGATATTTTATGAGTATTATTTAGGATTATTATTACCACAAGATAATGTGTGTACACAATATTTTTCTCGGTGAATAACGATAAATCGAAATGATACACATAATCGAAAAATAATGACTTCAAAGAAATAAGCGCATTGACTGTAGGAGAAATCGTGATACATGCATGGAAACGTTGTAATATCAATGAAACCATCACATCGTAATATGATGAGTACGCCCACATAAAGAGCCTATTCTGTACACCTATATATTCTCTAAATAGAATATTTGTTACATTTCCGTAAAAATTTCGATTTTCTATGCGTACACCTACAGTATTTTCTATTATTTACCATTCGCAAAATAATATTGTAGGTATTGAAAAATACGTACGTACACATAATGTATATGGAGAGTATTGAGTATTAAAGTATCGAGTTTTCAATAAAAGTATTAATTTTATGCTTTCGAATTGTGACTACTATATTTTTACGAACATAAGCTTATCTCGCATTGTCCAAAAATTTCTAAACAAAATATAATCTATCACGACCATAATAATGTAGTATTTAGTATATACATTAGATTCGATTAGGTTACAACAATTACGATCTGGTTATGGATTTAGTGCAGTTCATTTTGAATAATACCAACGCGCAGACGTCGTATAACAGCAATCTTAAATTTCATACTTTAAGAATATCAACGTCCAATACGAAAGCGGATATAAACGAATAGGGAAATATTCAACCTCAAAAAATACACTGGAAACTGAATATTTATACTCCTTTTTCACTCAATAATTAATTTTTTTGTTTTATTCGACGCAATTTTAATAATATAACAATTTTAATTTTTAATTTTCTCTACTAACATATATTTTATTCGAAATTATTTAATGAGGACAACCGAACAATGAAATCCATACATCATGATCGTTGATATTCATAAACATACTTAGTATTGTATGTTAAAATTATATTTTTAATAACGTCTATTTTTATATTGTACGCGGTCCTCGATACTACAGAGTCTATAGTATCGACTTCCGTATACAGTATCCGAGTCGAAATAATATACGAGTGACGAGTAGCGCGTATCGAAATCGAAATTGTTAATACCGCCAAACTCCACAATGACGACGGTGTGAACATGAATTAAATGTGCAGGATAATAAGCAGTCCGGAAAACCTTATGGCAATGTCAAATAAATCCGTTGGTAAGCATTTCATTCATTTTGTACAAAAAAACAGTACGTAGATACATATAAATCAAGATACAACAATACAATATCTCTATTATATCTTTATTCTACATTATAAGTATTAGGTGAAATTCAATAATGAAACCAACGAAAATATTTAAAAAATATTCAGGAGATTAAAGTCGGTGATTTTCTGTCTTTGTCCAACATAAGCACGACATAGGAATTAGACGTAAATTTTTATTGTCAACGTTCCAATTGATTTAGTAACACGATTCTGATATTTACTTGTCGTCATTGAGATAGACTTTTCCACTTAAAATATGACAAAGTTTAACTAACATAGAAATTGTCTACTTTTTTTACTTATACAATTTTTTTTTCTATATTTATAAATAAATTAGAGTGATAAAAACAAACATTGAGGAAAATTAATCTCAAGTAAACCTGACGACAAATTCAAACCCGTTATCAGATTTCTTAGGATTTTGTCAAAAAGAGGGAGATTATTGAATTCAAAAATGTATGAATTTCGTATAACGTGAAACTAAACTACAAAAAAAAAAAAAAAAGATACATTTATAATTTATATATTTTTGTGTATGTAATTTATAATTTAATCTCGCCGATAATTATTTCTGAATTTATTTTCAAAAAAATGTATCATAGCTTATAGGTTCGGGTTTTTTTATAAATTAACTAGGTGAATTTGAACTTTCAAAAATTGATAGTCATCGTGTAGATAATAATATATATATACGAATAAAGAAAAGCTGAAAATCACCGATCTCTCTCGACCCTTAAATACGCCATTGCATTTAAGGAAAATATTATTGTTATCACTGTACATCGAAACTTTCGCGGTGTCTTACTTATATCATAGACTCATCAACTTCTATCATAGGGTACGGCGCGGCGCGAGTGAATTTTACTCAGACTGAGCCCGGCAAGTAAAAATGGGGAATCTAGGAAGAAAAAAACTACAATCTTCGTGTTTCTTTCAATGGACGGTGTCTTTTTTTTTTTCTTACCAATGCCCCGTTTTTGCTTATCGGGTTCGGTGTGATTTTCGAGTAACACGTAACATGTACAATACGAGGCGCGGTCCATTAGTTCTATGTTGCGTATAATAAAACATAGTGCGATCTACAAACGATTTGTTCAACCATCTACGCATAATATTTATTACTTTTATTGTTATTATTATTATTATTATTGTTATTATTATGACAGACCCGCGTATAGTAGGTAGACAAAATAAATAAATAAACGACGAAAACGTGCAGACGTGCAGTATAACAATATAATGACCGTACACGAGGCCAAGTACGGTAACAATAAAAACACCGTAAGACCGAACTACCTACAGTACCCGCACTATAGTGCTATACATATACATACACTACATATACGATATGATGTGCGTACACGCATTGAAGCGATTTAAACGCGAATTACATAAAATATTAACGTGTTAAAATACGTGAAAATGGAATATTAACGACGGCGCTCGTCTGCACCGGATTGAGACAAAAAGAGTTTTTATGTTTCAATATATTGAACGTAGAATGTACGCGCAGAGAAAAAAAAAACCAGTCGCGGGTACTTCGCGGCCACGGGTGTGCCGCCGCCACTGTCGAAGGCGGGAAGTCGGGAAGATGGAACACCCGTGTCATGGTAGTTTTCCGTGCTGCGTATGCAACGAAAAACGTGTCTGAGCGAATTTTTTTTTTTTTTTGGATAGGGTTAAATTGAACATAACGCATTGATTTGTTTAGGTAACTACGAAAATAAATTTGTTTAACGTAAAAGTTAACTGCAAACGCTGATAAAAATAAATTACAACATTTTTAACCACATGAGACCGACCGGGAAAAACTCGAAAGTTTCAAATAGTCATTAAAGTTAACGCACTAACCCGATAAAGGCTAGAATAATATGTTGAAAACTGTACTGCGTCTACAAAATCCTAATATAAGTATTCTGTCATAACTTCAAGTATCTACAATTTGTAGAACATTCATTGAATAAAAAAAATGTAAATAACAGAAATCGTTAGCGCGTGAATATTCTCCCGGTTTTTTCCGATTGTAAAGAAAACTACAAGTAAAATCAACAGACGACCGCTACAATTCACCGACTATGGACGAAATTCGCCAGCAGAAACCGTTCCGATCGTGCTGATCATCGGAGCAAGAATTATGGTAGAAAATTTGTTCGCGGACGGATGAAAAAAAAAAAAAAAAGCATCAAAGTAAAACCGTAATAATAAAAATAAATGCAACGGTCCGTTGTTCGTCCAAACGAGAGGAGATAAAATAACCAAAACGTATCCCAATGCAGTTTTCCGTTTATACGCACTATTTGCACCGAGTGCAATAACTCGATCGACTGCAATACTGCATCGCATTCGATTCAGTTGCACCGGTGGCGCCGAGTGTGCACGTCGACTGCTGTACCGCCAATTTCGGCGTTGCAACGACACAAATTGATGTACCATGAAATTTGGTTTTATTTATTTACTGAAATTACAACGAAAAAACGAATAAACAGCAATAGATTTACTTTTCAGCGATGAACTCCAATTATTCGTATGCTGAAAAACCCGGTGTTGTGATAGTGTGTTGGTCCCGTGCATTGGGCGTTCTCACGGGAGAGGGTATGGGGGATGGATGCCCCACGAGCTTTTTTTTATAGGTAATATGGAGTTTCCCGTTTAACTGATATTAAGTGATAATAATCAAATGAATAAATATAATCAATACAAATTTTGTTTGGCTCGTAATCATTTTCAATGTGATTTTTAGAAACGTCTTAATGGATCACCATTACTGACCGTCCGCAAAAAGAAATCCCGATTTATCCCGGAGAAGTTCTTGATGTACTGGCATAAAAATCGAGAGAAATTGATATCATTCGTGCAAATTCAATATTTCCATACAAAATATAATATGTTATGATTTAATATACGTTGTTTTTTTATAAAAAAAATATTACATTTTAATACATTTCCATATCCCCCACCATTCCTCCGATAAAAATTCCTGAGAACGCCTCAATGCATTGTAAGTTTTGGCGCAACCGTCCAATCGAAAACCCAACAATATTATAAAAATCCGCGCGTATCCGTATGGCTTAGGGTGACGGTATTTACACGAGAAAAAATATGGTGCAAACCATTTCGGTCGAACTTGTTTTTATACATTTTATCGTGTCTCGGCCGTTCATTCCGCTGCAGAATCTGTTTGGGTATTTATTAAAATAATTGTTTATTTCGGTTATAAAGCCGTACAAATAGTATTTGTTCCGGGTTCCCGACATTATAATGAGGATCACTCGGATTAAAACCGGACGGAAATCTACCCGTTCAAATAAGTGTGTCTTGAGTCAAGGGAACATTTGATGCACGAAAAAAAAAAAAAAAAACAAAAAAGAGGACAACCCCGTTTTTAAAGGGGCATATGCGGACGTGCGGCCTTCCAATAATAGCCGGTGCTCGGTACCATAATATTACACCGCAATATTATTACATTTCGTCACCGGTCTGTTTTGGTAATTTTTCATTCTGATTTTCTAATAAAACGTGGTCGGCGACTGCCGGAGCGAACGTGTCCGTGGTGTTTTCCGGAGGACTCGGCGGCGCCGCCGGGGGGTACACGTGCACCGAACAGCCGCCGAAACAGACACGCGTGGACAACAGAGAACGCGGCGCGACATCCGCCACCGCCGTCGCTCCCTTTCCCCTCCCCTCCACTCCCCTCACCACCACCCCCCCCCCCGTGGTCCATCGCGCCGCCACTATCGTAGCCGGACAGAACAGTGGCATTGGCGACGGCGGCGGCGGCGACAACGACGACAACGGAACTAGAATAGAGGAAACGGAGAGAGAGAAACAGAGTGAGAAAGAATGAGAGAAAGAAAAAGTACGGGGGAAGCGGCCGAGTGGGAGAAACGAGAACGAGACCATTGAGGCGAGAGAGAGGAGAGAAAAAGATAGCGGCAGCGAACGGGTGGGATAGGCGAGAGATAGAACGAGCGAGAAACGCGGAAACGGGGGATACGGGACCGGGAGCGGGGTAACCACCGCCGCCCCGTCGAGTTGACCGCAATACAGGCGGAGGATGACGGCGCGCGCCAGAGAGGATCAATAGCCCGCACTGAGCGCATGCGTCATTCGGTCGGACACGTGCTGCCGACATGGCCGCCCGCCCGACCGTCTCCACCGCCACCCGAGCGACCGCCGCCGCCGCCACCGCAGCCCGTAAGGGCGCGGCGACGAATACGTACGGCATTAAAGCCCATAAATCGGTACGCGTAGCCATTTAAACGACGTATTGTAATCGCTTTTAATTTGTATAACGTCGGATTGGGACGACGACGACGACGACGACGACGACCGCCGCCGCCACTATTATTATTGTTATTATAATGTAATAATGCACCGGTACAACAACAGCACTGTCCGTTTGAACGGCGCGGCGATCTCGAGGTGAGCGCGGGAAACGTCGGGAAGTGTTCTTAGTGTCCTCTCTGGCAGCAGCAGCAGCAGCACGTATCGCCGCACGCGATGTGATAATCAATATTATTTAAAACACTAACAATCGTAAAATAATCGTCGACAGAAAAAAAAAAAAAAAACTTATCGCGCGCGTCGATTGGGATAATGCGATGCAAAAAGTACTCCCTCCCCACTTACCCACCCAGCCCGCGGCGCGCCGCCGTCCTTATTGTCGCCGACCGACGAACGCCGTTTCACTCGCGCGCGTATAAATAACAATACGGCCGAGACCGTGGTTATATACCCTGTACACCCGATGTAATATCACGCGACCGATACAAAAATATACAATAACAATAACGTCGTTTTAAACCGAACATTGTTTTCGCCGAAAAAATATAACATTATTATTTCGATTCCGGAAACGTACGCGGCGAATTTTCTTTCTTTTGTTTTTTTTTTTTTTTTTTTTTTTTTTTTTAATCGGATACGAAAAAAATACCATTTTTTTTTTTCGTACAGCCCCGTTTTTGCGGATTGTTTTTTTGTATTTTTCAAACTAATAAAAAACCGCGAAACGTCACGAAAACAGTATACTACGCTCGCCCGTGCACCTATCGTTTTTATATTGTACATTATTAAACGAATAAATTCAAAATAACAAGTGTGGGTATACCCGCGGCAGCAAATATATTAAAAGTTATTGCCGCCGGTGGCGGGACTCGTCTAGATATAGAAAAGTTTACAAAAAAAGTCTAAAAAAAGTTTATCTAACGCGAAAGAATGGTTGTCTGTTCCGTAATTATCAAGATAAATTATAATTACGCGAAAAAAAAAATATATATGTTTTACCCGTAGTAGAAACTAGAAAACATTAAACGTTACTGGTGTACACCCACCTACGTTTCGGTTTTATTTGAAAATTCGACGTTACTGTAGCTATAGTGTCATAATGATAAAATGTATTGCCAACTAACAATGGACAATTTTAACAAACATTTTTTTTTTTTTTTTTTCATCTGTAGAATTCCATCCGTCTGTAATTTTGGAGAAACTGTTTGCTCTTTATCTAGATAAATAATCGTACTTGTCTCGACACTGCAGATTATTATTAATAAAACTGGAATGATAAAAATGGAAAATTTTCAATAAATCTCACTTTCGTGACTCGTAAGAAATAATCTATTGGCCTTAGAAATTTCATAATTTTTACAATTTTTATAGACTGTTAAGTCATTACTAGGAAACCGATATATATATATACACTTAAAAAATCTGTTAAAATATTTAAAAAACGTCGAAAATCCCCAAATAAAGGGGTTCTAAAAGTCCCCATATCTAAATTATAAAATACAATTGTCTAACGAAAATATACTATGATTAACACACAGTAATTTCTTTTTTTTTGCAATACCTATAATTTTATTTAAAAAAAAAATTACTGTCTATTAATCAGTTTTGTAGCGTAGAAAATTGTAATCGATAATTTAGATTTACAACCACCCGTTATATGGTGGACTTTTGCACTCCTCTACCGTGTTTTACTATGGCTTTTTTGACGTTTTTACGCGATTCTTTTTTTGTGGGCTTTAAATCCCATATGTTCCCTAGTTATAACCGTTAAATGTTTCGTTTCATTACATACTCGTGCTTTGATTTAAATCCGTTAATTGAAACCTGCAGCTGCAATATTGTTCGGCAATTTAAATATGCAGTAACGTATATCGATAATGACGGCCCGCGGAAGAACGGAAGCGGATAATGGAATCTATATCGCCCTACTGCGCTCTAAATTAGTAAATCTTAAGAGGATATACCCTTTTTAAGTATATACGTATAGCATACACGGTACTATAATATATGCGAGTATTAAAAGTAGGGCAAAATATCCATACGAAAATTATATAATTATTATTATGCACGTATATATATTAAGGGAACACAATATATTATAAGCATAGGTATTTTACCGTCTGCACACACTCGTATAAATATTTTACTGCGGGTTAAACTTGATAATGGTTCGCTTCAAGCCATATTTTTACAATAATCAGTGACGGCATATCAGGACATTTTATAGGGGGTCCAGATTTGTTCGGTCAAATATATTGAATGATGATAATTGTTCGGCAGTTTCTAAAACAAAACGTACGTGTTTGTTATATACTTAATATAACGTTTCGAGAGGAACCGCAATATCCAATATTATACATTTATCATACACCTAGCATACATGAGATATTATATACAAGTCCTACTGCAGTCTTGGCAATAGTTTTCAAATAACAGCCAAATGTTATGTTTTAAATTCTGAACGTAACATGGAAGTTATTAGTTTTACAGCGATGTTGCTATTTCTTTTTTTTTTTTTTTTGTCTCTTAAGACATGTTTTGAAACAGTAAAAACGCTGTTACAATTTTATCCGGTTATTATATACAAGAAAATATATTACTTAAATAAATAATACAATGTCGATAGTACTAATAAAGTGTCTACAAAATTGAAGAGAATTGATAAAACGGTACGGTAGAAAAAATAAATACAAGCAAATATAGAACGACTTTAAATCAATACGAATTTAAGATTTTTATGTTTTAAAAATGTGATTTACTATAGTTTTTAAAATATAAATTATAATTACTTGGCCCGCACCCCTGCGACCCACCAAAATAATCAAACTGTAATGGCCCAACCAATAGATGTAAAATGGTCTACTACTTATTTAGTTTTATAATCATCAAACGTATCTGTACATTAAGATACATATTATCCTCGTGTATATCTTAGATTTACTTGTCAGATAACTGGCCATTTCAGAGGCGCATTTAGAACATTTTCCATTTTCACGAGGGGTGAGGATACTTTTCCTCGGCGCAGAGTTCTAAGCCCTGCATAACTTCACCTCTCCCCCTCCACACACACACACACACACACACAACTCACAACTACCATATCTTCAATACTAACATTTAAGATACAAAATATACACAAAAAAACTGTCCTAGGATAACGTGGACGGGTGCAGCCACTTTTATAGATAATTTAATTTATACCTGTAAGCAACGATAAACCATTGCTAACGAAAAAACAGTTTTGAGCGGAGTCCAGTTGATAGTGATACTTCGTCAACAATACATGTTATAATATATTATGGTCAAATAATTAAATAGGCATTATATATTTTCTTTAATAATATTTCTTTAATGTACCGATCTTCTCGTTTTTCCTACGTTCTTTTCATGTTTTCCCCGTTTTTTCACATTTTCTGGGAAAACTCTTGGGAAACATTCTTGGGAAAATCAAAAAATGACCTCATTAAAGTACCTCCCCAATCCGATTTCCTATTAGAAAAGTTGTTGCACTTCAAAATCGGAGCAATAGGTAAAAAAAAAAAAAAAAATTTTTGTAAAACCAGAAGCTTCTTCGCTCCACCCAGAATCTAAAATTAAATTTACAATTTAAGTTTCCAGATATGGTGATGATTTCGACAAACTGGCGATTTTCTACGAGTCCAGCCAGCAATAATTTAACATGGTATATAGTGGATATCAATATGTCCCACCCACGGAATCTGCATCTCTTGGATCTCTTCCCTCCGCCGTAAAGACGAATCTAGACCTTTTTTTTTTCTTTTAATTCGAATAATATTATTACTTATTATTAATTAGCGCCTCGGTAGAACCGTCAACTCTTAGATCATACAGTAAAATTATATGATGACCGTTAAACATTTTACTTATTTCTTTTTAAATCGGACGAACGGTACGAAACGGTAGACACGTGCATGCACAATATACAATTTAATTTATACATCGTTTAGACAATGGGTTATGGGTACGGTTAAGTATGGAATATGTCATCGTCACTTAAAAAGTTTAAGAAAAAAATAACGTGTGAGGCACCCCGCGTAATGTAAATAAAAAAACCAAATAAAATACCACAATTTCGACGATATACCCTATAATACGCATCAAGTAGAGTAAATGTAAGTATAATCTGATTACAATAACCATATACCTACCAATTGTATATGTTAACGTCCCTGAAGGGCATTAAATTGTGGCGGAGCGTACCGCCAATGTGTAATCATATAAAAACTCGCAACACACGAGACGGAAACGACAAGATAATAACACAACTGCGTTCGTTGAGATAACAATAATTATATTATTATTAAGTATATTGTGCAAATTCTCGGCACAGTGTTGAATGTTGATAATATTATATTGTATAGATATACATTTTCAAAGTAAGTAAAAAAAAATGGCATGAAGAGAAAATTAAAAATAATATATACTTACTTACGTAATAATATTATGAATACGTGGAAATTAATCGAATCAAGTAGAGTACAAAAATAAAAACTATATCTTCTCGTAATTATTCCTATATGTGTTGTTTTAACTTTTAATGAAATAGGTAGGACTTAACACGAAAAACAATACTAATAATAAAGGTATATTTTGACATGATATAATACAAAATAAATAAGTATTTTTGTAATTACTTAATTTTCAAATAGATGATTAAATAGGTATAAGTATATGTCACGGATACCCATATACGTATAGGACAAATTTTTTGAGTATTTTTATGGAGCCGAAAAAGTTTTATGAGAATAAATCGAAAAATAATACACGACATAATATGATTTTTACGATTTTCATTAAAATTTAAACTTTAAAGCTTAAAAAAAATAGTCCCCCACGAATTTTCGCTATTTTTATTTAATGCAATAAGAACAAATTTTTGAACATTTTTGAAGAAAATTGTATTAATATACAAACTGAAAAAAAATTCAAATGGCTATAAATAACTCAAAA